GCTGCTGCATCTGCTGCGGCGCCAGCGGCAGCGCCTCCAACTGAAGGGTCTGTTTCGCCGCCGCCTCCATTGCCGCCACGCAATCAGCAGCTGTATGAGACGGGTGTCGCCGGTGTGTCCACATACAAGCCATATCAGTTGCCGCCGTTCACGGATAGTTACACCAACAGCATACCGGCTCGAGTAGTGCTAGATCGCCGGAAAACATTCACCCGGCTCTACGAGCTGATCAGCGAGCAGCGCACGGATGATGCCGAGCTCTTGGAGTTTTATCATATGGTGCGTGAAGTGCGCAGCAGTTACCCGCATGGAGATACAGCGACAAATGTGGGACATGTTATAGCCGCCGAGTTCAACTATCATTACATGATGGACACCAGCATTAAGGTGATTGTGCATCCGGCTGTGAATACGCTGCAGCCGCATGCCGTCACCAATTCACTGGCTGGAGAGCAGGTCAAGGGCTATGGCACGCCGGTGACCTTCACCTGCGACAGTAAGTGCTATCAACAGATTTAATGGATACCTGACTAATGTGCCAAATATTTGCTTGCAGTTGATTCAGTGGTGGCTCAGGTGGTGGCCCAGGCGCTGGCTTCACTGGAGGGTCAGGTGCAGGGCACTGTCACGGATTTTGTGGTCAAGGTGCGTCTTTGTATAGCGACAAGATTCATGTGCATTTCTATAATACTCGCTAATTCTTTTGTGCAGCCCATTGGTCTGTTGGAGTGGCTGGCGCCCACCTCGAAGCTGAGCCAGCTGGAGTGCGTGCATAACAGCTTTCAGCTGGAGAAGGATGTGCATTTGGGTCTGTGCTTGCGCAGCGCTGCCAATATGCAGGCCATTTCCCGAACACAGCAGGATGATGAGAACGACGCTAATCTGCAGCCGGAGCAGGTGCTGCCCAATGAAGTGGTACCCATTGTCACCTACGACAACATGATGATACTCATTGAGACCCTTGAAATGGAAATCGATAAGCTCGAATCGGCGGTAGACGGTGCACCTGCTGGACGCAGCGTTGTCAGCTGTTCGGGCGTGGTGCAAGCCGTCAAAGCGATTTGCGCACTGCTCGGCTCCATCGATACGCTGGAGATAGCGCGTTGCATTAGCGACCTGAAGCGCATATGCGAGGAGGCGCAGACCAAGTATGCACCCTTGGCGGGTGCCAACAATCCAGAGATCGTCAGCGACTATGGTGAATACGCGCAGGTGACGCTGAGACCGCGCTCCATGCTTGAGCAAATTAAACTAAAGTGCAATCGGCTGCGTGATGCTGTCCAGGAGCTAGTCGAACTATATGCCAATGTATTTCGCGTTGCCTTTTCCGTGAAGACGCCCGATTATTCCACAAGTTAGTAAATACCCAAATTAAGATTTGATTGCTTTTTAATTATCAGAACCTTTCCAGCTCCTATACCCATCTCGTGTGTGTCCAAGCCGATTGTGGTGAGCATCAATTGCCTACACAGGCCGCCGCCCAACTGGAAATACGAGGATTATTCGCTCTGCGTGCAGCTCGTCTATGGCACGCGCCTCTTGTCCAAGCCCAATGTGCTTAGCTGCTCCAATGATACGAGCGGCGGCCTATTTCCACGCTTGAACTTCAGTGCGTGGTTAACCTTCGACCAGCATCCCATATGCACGTTGCCACGCGAGGCGCGTCTCACCTTTGTGCTGTACGGCAAGCAGGCGGCCAACGAGAATGAGCCAAATGCGGAGCCAAACGGCGAGCGACGGCAGGTGACCACGGAGCTGGGTTGGTGCTCCATACAGCTGTTTGATTTCAAGCGCACCATGATCTGTGGTCCCTATTTGCTATCGGTTTGGCCGCCCACCACTGATAAAATGCTAGGACCAGCGCCTGCGCGCGGCTGTCATCCGCACCCCGACTATTGTCCGGTGCTGAGCATTGAAGTGCCACCCTATGGCGGACGCATAGAGTTCCCGGAACATCAGGAGGCGCCCAAGCCCGCACCACAGTACGATATAATCGTGAATTATTTACAGTGATGCACTTATTAGATTTACATTTTTTTTATACAGCTACGATTTTGCTTCGCTAGACGCCAATCTGCAAGAGGAACTGTTGGACACGGCCGAACTAGGTTATTCGGGTGCAACGGACCGCCGAGAGGTGTTTTGGGAGAAACGTCTCTATCTGCAAAAATATCCCAATGCGCTGCCCAAGGTGCTGCATGCAGCGCACAGTTGGGATTATGCCAATCTGATTGATTTGCATTCCCTGCTACACTCCTGGGCACCGTTATCGCCGTTGCAGGCACTGGAGCTGCTGCTGCCTCGCTACCCGGACGCCAAGGTGCGTGAGAAGGCTGTCGAGTGGATCTCACACATGCCCAACGATCAGCTAGTGGACTTTTTGCCACAGCTGGTGCAATCGCTTAAGCACGACACATATGAGGCATCGGCACTGTCGCGTTTCTTGCTCTCCAAGTGCCTGGAGTCGCCGCGTTTTGCCCATCACATGTACTGGCTGCTGGTACACAGTCTGCCCGATGATCCGCTCAACTCAATTGGCGCCTCGCTGGTGGATCAGGACTACGATGAGTCGCAAATCACACAGGCGCGCTATTATCGCCGTAATAAGATGATGTTGCGCGCCCTCATGGCCATTTGTGGCGAGAAACTGCTCAAGCGTTTCATGTATCAGCATCGCATGTGCCAGGTGGGTAGCACACAAGCTACACGTGTTTTTATAGTTGATGTTGTTAATCGCTTTTCTTTTGCGCAGAATTTGGCCAAGATTGCGGAGTCTGTCAAGGAAGCAAAGGAGTCGATGCGGCAGAAGAGTCTAGTTGCGGGCATGGATCAGGTGCATCAGGATCTGTCGGAGGAGCCCACTTGTCTGCCGCTGGGCCCTGAGCTGGAGGTGTCCGGTGTTAATGTGCGCAACTGCAGCTACTTCAATTCCAATACGCTGCCACTGAAAATCACCTTTGTGGGACCTGATAGTGAGCCCCTGCCCGCCATTTTTAAGGTAACCCAACGTTGTTGCCTTAGTCTAGCCACATATTGTATATCACTTTTTTCTTGACAGTGCGGTGATGATCTACAGCAGGACATGTTAACAATCCAACTGATACGCATCATGAACAAAATGTGGCTGGCCGAACGTTTGGACCTCAAGATGGTTACGTTCAATTGTGTGCCCACTGGCTACAAGAGCGGCATGATTGAACTTGTCTCTGAGGCCGAAACGCTACGAAAAATACAGGTGGAATGCGGTTTAACGGGCTCATTTAAGGATCGACCCATTGCCGAATGGCTGGGCAAACAGAATCCAAGTCCGTTGGAATATCAAAGTGCTGTGCGCAATTTTACACTCTCTTGCGCCGGCTACAGTGTGGCTACCTATGTGCTGGGCATCTGTGATCGACACAACGATAACATTATGCTCAAGACCTCGGGACATTTGTTTCACATCGATTTTGGAAAATTTCTGGGCGATGCTCAAATGTTTGGCAATTTCAAAAGGTGGGTTTTGGGTATCGCTTTGGATTGTTAGGTTTTAAGCAGTTTAAACGCAGCAATTCTTTAAAAATATGACTACGTTACGCAACTGCTAAGATAGAATGATTCCACTTTCCATGTGAATAAATTTTGATTTTTATTTTGCAGAGATCGTACTCCGTTTGTGCTCACTTCGGATATGGCATATGTGATCAATGGTGGCGATAAACCCTCTACGGATTTTCACTATTTCGTTGATCTCTGCTGTCGTGCCTTTAATATTGTGCGCAAGAATGCCGACCTGCTGCTCCATACGTTGGCGCACATGGCTACAGCGGGCATGCCGGGCGTCAATTCGAATGCCGTCACATATGTGCGTCGCGCCCTGTTGCCTTCACAATCGAATCCGGAGGCAGCGGCCACATTCGCCAAAATGATACAATCCTCGCTGAAGAGTTGGTTTACCCAATTCAATTTTTTCCTGCACAACTTGGCCCAGATGCGTTTCAACAATGACGAAGGCTCCGGTGAGCTCTTATCGTTTGTGCCACGCAAATACACGTGAGTGGCAGGTGCTTACCTGTATTTAAAAACTTAACTAACAAAGCCCATTCTGCGTTCACAGCATGCAGCAGGATGGTAGGCTGAAGATTGTTAAAGTGGTGCGATTCCAGAAGCACTACAGCATGGAAAAGTATTATATGTACATTCTGCAAGTGACACGACACGGACAGCTGGATCCAACGCATCTGTTTCGCTCCTATCGCGAGTTTACCGAGTTCCATCAGAAGTTATGCATGCACTTTCCACTGGTCAAGCTGCACAGGTAAGTGAACGCATCCAATCTTGAGTTTATTCATTTGAGCGTACATTTAAAGAACAGGGGAGATAATGAACAGAATTTTCTATATTAATAATGATCAAACTTGAATTTCTCGTAGAAATTAGTTAAATTCTTTTCAAACTAATATCTGCATTGAGATCAATCTATTTTTGTATGTGTTTGAACCAGTTTATTTTAGTTTTCTAGTTCTACATAACAGTTTAGACTGAGAGACTATTTTTTATTTCTTGACTCCTATATCCGTGGGAAATTGGGCTTTACTTATGGGATCCGTAGTCTATTTCTTTGTCCGATAGGTTATTAATGATCTAAGATCTAAGGAATTTCTCGATAATTTTAAACCTAGTATTCCAAATTTGAAACCTTGAGACAGACGATCCATTCGACTATTAATGCTGAGCAAGTGCTTAATTACTTTGTGGTTCGGAAATGTCTCCTTTTATCTGGGCAAACATTTTACTCATGTCTTATGGACACAAATGTGATGAAAATAGAGGAAAACTATTTAAAAATGTAGTTTATAATAATGATAAATTTATTTAAACATAGTCAACATTATATGGCAACTCCTACTTTAGATATATACTTATGTATATATATGTGCATGTGTATATACATAGACTTATTTACATGTTAAATACTGTTTTTGCTAAGGAAATGCAGAACAGCATCTTAGTTTGGGGACCTAAGCCTCTGTGATTCTGTCACCCTGTGCCGTGCGGTCCAAGTGAAACACTGGACGCAGTGCGTCCGTCATGGATCGATGCTGGCGTATGGCGCGTCCAAATGCTTCGTCATCGCTATCTTCCAGCGAGACCTGAGTGCCGAAGAGTCTGGGCACATCGGGTTCAGCATTTGGCGAGGGCTCGTCAGGAAGCAATGGGATCAACCGTTGCGTAGATCTAGAAGGCAACTGTGGCTTTTCCTGCTCATCCGCAGATTCAAACTCAACGTCAGACTCATTTGAGCTGGGCACCTCAGCAGATTGATAATATTGCAAGTTGTCCACATCGAAACGCACCTTCAGAGTGCGTCCAATGCGCTTAGTCGGCTGTGGTGCTGCCGGCAGTGGTGGTGCAATAGCTATTTCCTCCACTTCCGCCTCGCTTGAACTGGAACTGGGCAATTCCTCACGCTCGTAGCAAGTCAATGGTGGCGCATCACCGCGCACATTGAGTGTCGCCGGCTTGGAGACGCGCGGCGCTGGCTGTGGAGGTCGGCGTGCTGGCACCGGTGATGCAGCAATTTCCAGCTCCTCGCAAAGCTCCTCGAAATTGTGCACCTCTTCGGCGAGCGGAAGGGAGTTGCCAGTGGGCGGCTCACCATTCACTTGCAGCTCCACGAATAGATCCTCTATGCTGCTTACGTATTTGGCATCGTTTTCCTTGCCCTTGCCCTTGCCCTTGCCTACGACATCGGCGTATTTTGGCAAGTTCTTGTTATTCTGTGACCCCTCCAGCTGCATCAGTGACTCGTAGTCGGGCAGGATAGGTAGAATAGGCGGCTCCATATCATACGGAGGCGGTTCAAAGGAATCGACAGTTATCTGCTGTCTCCCTGTCTGCTGTCCATCTGCAGGCGCTATTAGTTCCAGTTCTTGAAAGAGCGACTCTTGCTGCACCACATTTTCCAGATCAATGTTGGTTTCGTCGATCTGTTCTGTACAGGACGGATCCAGTACTGACCAAGTGGACTGGGGCACATCCGTCACAATTTCCAAGTTCTCAAAGTTCTCCCAGTCATCGTCAATGCTCTTACCAAAACCTGGCGGGCTGCTAGGCGCTGGTAGCTGGGTCGCCAGTTCAGCAAAATCTGGTTGCATGTCCAAGATGTCCGCTTCATTCATTTCGTAGGTGGAACGAATTCGCTCAAACTCCGCATCCTCCATATGTTGTGGCATTTCCAGATTATCGAATAAGTTGCGGGCCATAACTGGATCCGTTTGCTCAATTGAATCGGGCGTACCATCGATAATTTCCACAACGAACGCCGAATCCGCGTGCTCCAGCTCAAGGAATCGGCTGTTGTACACTGTGTCCGGGACAGGCTCCGCTTCACTGCTTAGCTCGTGCTCCGTTTGCGTCTGAATAACAGCCGGTACGTGATGCACTTGCGCAGCCACAGAAATGGCAGCTCCGACTTGGTCATCATCCGGCGTTAACAGTTCCGGCACATCATCGACCTGCTCATACTTGACATAGCGTCCATGCTCCTTCGGCTCTTTGCTGCTGGCCTTGGCGCTAATAAGCTTATATTTCTCGGCAAAATGATCAAAGTTAGGAATGTCCAGCTGAGAGGGAGGCTCTGCAGCTGCCACTGCTATGGGCGGTGCGGGTGGTTGGCGTGTAGGCGGCGTTGAATAGTATTCATAACTGGCGCTATGCACTTCACGTCGTCTGCGTCGTGCTGCTTGAGGCTCTGGACGGTACGGAACTGTCCCAGCCAGTTCCGGTATGCTTGTCTCCTCCTTGTATGCATATGGCGCCAATTTGGTCAGCTGCAGATTGGGTACACTGCCCGTGAGGTATTTATTCGCTGAAGGAGAGAATAGTTATAAATAACGGAATGAATTAAGGAATGAATCAATATTACCTGAAAGAACATTGCGAAATAGGGCAAGGGCAAGGCTCAAAATAACTAACATACTTGATTTTAGGGGAGATCAATACGTTAATATTTGGTTTGCGTGTGCAATACGGGAACCCACATGATAAATTATGTGCCTCTAAGTCATATGGTGTGTTCGCAAAACGTGTCCTAGAACTCAATTTGTTTCGATTTAAGTCCCGACAAACGGAAATGAAAATATCCAGAAACATATGTATATAAACAATGGGGGCTTTGACAATCTACATTCAACTGATTTTAATGAGTACAGGGTATTAAATATTGCTTTCAGTCTAGCCTATGCGATATCTTCCTCAGTAACTGATCGCGTCAGGCAATTTACTTCCAATTCCATTCACATTAGGTAATGCATACAGGCATACATATTTGTATGTATGCAAACATACGTTTGCATATGTAAACGTTTGAACGTTTTACCTGTTGAATTTGTCGGTCGGGCACTTTCGAATTCCTCGGTATTCCGTTGGCGAAATACTCCATGTACAGCGCTGTCCGTGCCGTTTACCTGCAAGTGCAATACGATTATTCTGCAGATTTATTAATGCCCATTCTTACAATCTAAAATTAGCAATTCTTCGGCTTTATTGTAACAATTAAAACAGCTGTGGCCTCAGCTGGTCAGGCCTAACGCCTGCGCCAACAACAACAAGATTGCAACAATAACGAAAAGTTTCGCATGCGTCATAAACTTAACTGTAAAAGTATTACACTCAAAAACACGGACACAAAATAAAGCAAGTGTGTGTGTGCGCGCGCTAATATCAACGAGAATGCGAATTAGAGATGGGCTTTCGGCAAAAAATATTCTAATGAGCACGAAAATATGTGCAAATTGTTGTTGACATTGGTTAATTGTGGCTGAGAAGAATTGTTTATAAATTGAATAGGTGCGACGTCGTTTAAATTGAGACCGAAGGAACAGGCAGTTTCTGGTACAAGCCTTTTTTAAATAACTATCGAAACATGTTAGCCCTTCATCGATAAATTGCATTAATTAGCGCAGCTCTTAAAGTTATTCATGACTAAATGAGAGCGACTCTAAGAACCCTTTTATCGATATGTATTGCGCGGCGTTCACGTTCTCATCTCCATTTCAATAGACAACACAGACACACACACACACACACACACACACACACACACATAAAGAAAGAGCGAATACATCTGCATTGGGTCTGTTTTCGCTGCGTCTTATCGTCGTTGGCATTCAAAGTTTTATCAGATACTTATTAACCTTTATAAGTGACTTTCATCGAACTAATTGACATGTTTTTAAAGTTGCGTGATTTGTATGTTACGCACCTGCGATTCGTAGGCTGCATATCGTGGAGCAGTTTGCGTCTGCTGCTGAGTTGAGCGCGTTGTCGTTGTCCGCCCGCCGCTATCGAATGTGAGACGCCGCCGGAAGCCCCAGATTTTGATGCCCAGCAGCACAAATACGAGACTCACCAGAAGCATGAGTGAGTTGAGCCAAGGACCATGGGCCGCTTGCCCACCTGTGCAGGACACTTGATAAGCGCTCGAAGCTGACAGAAGGTAGCTAAACTTACCTTGGCCCACATACGTTAGCTGAGCCATCACTGCTATTCGCTTGTGGCCAGCATTTCGCAGTTGCACACCTGATTTTTATGAATTTTTTGCTTTTCGTCTTCAGTTCAGTTCAGTTCAGTTCACCACGTTGGCGTTAATCGAACGCCAGTGCCACAGCTCTTGGCTCTTGGCTCTCGGCTGTTGGCTGTTGGCTCTCCCCGTTCTCAGCGCTTGCCGTCCGCACCACAACGCGCCCGTTAACTGATTGAGCGTGGTTGACGTCGCCGTTTGTTAACTGCCAACGCTCAACACGTTATCGCAATGATATCGTGGCGCTCCCAGTGTTTGGCTCTCGTTGATTGGTTTGCTGGTGGGTCGCTCTTCTTTCACCCACTGCTCTTTGATTCGGCCCGCTTCGGCCGTCAAGCAAAGGGTATGGGGGCAGTTTTGATTTATCAGCCATTAACGATTGTTACCTGTTACCAATCGTTTGACAGTCGCTTGGCGGTCACTGATAAGCAATTGTCTATATATCATGTGCTTTTCTATTTTGTCTGGCTGACTTACAGCATGAAATTCACCTCACAACAATTCGTTATCATTATGTAGATACATTGTAACTTCTCTCTTCAATACAAATACTCTTACTAACAAGTGTCCGCAAGTCCTTAATCAATTAATGTTAAATGTTGAAACCAAAGCCATTAATTGCGTTAATTTTCAAAATTTTGTGGTACACATCTGTAAATATGCTGAATGTGTGTGTGATCAAAGATATCCTACATCCTATATTTGTTATTTCTTTCTCTCTGAGAAAGATGCGTTCGCGGCTTGGCTGCTGAAAAACATAAACTTATATGAAACCTTTTTACCCATTTAAAGTGGATTCAGGGTATCAAGAGCATCGCTGTCCGAACCTACATTGGTTCACATCGATTTGTTTTTTGTAATGCCTTCTTATACCCTGAACCAATTTAAAATGGGTATAAGGGTATATTGTATTTGTGCAAAATCCAAATGTATGAAACAGGCAGAAGGAAGCTTCTCCGACCCCATAAAGTATATATATTCTTGATAAGCATCAACAGCCGAGTCGATCTAGCCATGTCCGTCTGTCTGTCCGTCCGTCCGTCCGTATGTATGAACGCAAGGATCTCAGAACCTTTAAGAGCTAGATACTTGAAATTTTAGATGTAGGTGCTCCTAGTTCCTGCGCAGATCGAGTTTGTTTCCGATAATCGATAACTTACTCCGTTTCCAAGCAATCGATAAAAATCGATATCGATATCCTGTTTTTTGGCCAATTTTGGTAAATAACGAGAGCTGGAGTCACCAAACTTGACATATAGCTTCTAAAATTGAATATATATATGCATTTGATGTTGGAAGAAGAGGGTTCAGGGTCGGGAGCTCCCGACTAGAACCTTTTACTTGTTTACGCATTCTAAAGTTATGTTTGTTAATAAATCAAAGCTTGACATATTTTCATTGATATCGCTTTGAAATGATATCATATCGACTGTAAATGTAAATGTCAATTGAAAATTCGTTTTAAGTTACTTAATAAGACTTAACTAAGTCGCGAAGACCTACAGAACCAAAGGTTTAAGCACCAAGAGTGAGCAGCTTGTCTGTATCGCTTTGTCAAGAACTTTCCGGTTCTATCATCCGCAGACCTTCCTATAGACTGATGGGTTTGTCCACGGTTCGAAGCTATAACCCCTTGGGAATTATGATTGAATTCATTAGCATCAAGGAAAATTATAGTCTTATTATATTTTTAATTTATACATAGTTAATTTGCGTATCTAATAACTAACACGGATTTCAATTTCTACTTAATGTCAGCCTGCCAGCGGGTGTTCATGTAGGACGTTCCAATATTAAATCTGTGGCTGAGAAGCGTTTGCCTTTGATACAGCGTTTCCTGAAATCGCTTTTCGATGCGGCGGAGGAAATAGCGCACTCGGATTTGGTATACACATTCTTTCATCCGCTGTTGCGCGACCAGCAGGAGGCCAAACTGGAGATGCCCAAGATAAGAGGTAAGCAGACTTCTGCTGTAAAAGGCAAGATTAATAACTGGTTTCTTTGCAGAGGTCAAGCGGCAGCCATCGCGAGATAATTCGAATGAAATTGGCCAGATACGTCTATCGCTGCAATACCAACGCGGCGTGTTAACTGTGATGGTGGGTTGGCTAATGCTGTACAACTAAAGGACCTTGCTCTAATGCGATGTCTTATTTTAGATACACCACGCCAAAGGACTGCCCATGCTGCAGGGTGGCCAGGAGCCGAACACATATGTCAAATGCTACCTGAAACCGGATCCAACCAAAGTGACCAAACGTAAAACCAAAGTGGTGCGCAAGACCTGCGTGCCTAGCTTCATGGAGACGGTAGGGTTACAGCCGCATTTCACATTTTCAGAACTGCTAACTATATGTGACACTTTATATCTCAACAGTTGGAGTACCGCATGCCTCTGGATATTGTGCAACAACGCAGGCTGCAGGTGACTGTTTGGTCACATGATACGCTGCAGGAGAACGAGCTGCTTGGCGGCTTTGAATTGGATCTCGCTAAACATGATTTGCGTCAGGAGCTGTGCGATTGGCATCGCTTGGGATCAGTGCCTAGGAATTGAAGCGATAATCTGGCCTAGTTTTATAAACATGCACACACTCAATCGAACCCCCACACTCACACACACACTCACTCACACACACATACACATATATGTTAGTGCCTGTCTATTCAATGCAATAATACTTACATACTCAAAGTGATTGTACATTCCACATTATACTTATATTTACTTACATATACAAATAACTTAGCTGAACTCTACCTATCACTTGTATATAACGTACACACATACACACACTCACAAAGCGACAAACACATTGAGAAATGGCGCACACATACTCTTCTAGCAATTGGTATTGAGCTATTGCATAAACTTCAACAGATCAGATGAAATTTTGTATATGTACATAAATCAACCAAATATAAGTGATACGTGCTGATCGGTAGTGAATACTTTTCGTATATATTCAGGGTAGTCCATTGAATACTGTAGAGGGCACATTTCTTAGACTAGTTTTTGTAGATTTCCGTCACAATTACCGACATGCAATATCATCGCCTTGGCAGTGTCAATTCAGCTATTAAATTAAAACAGTGGAAATTGTAACTATTTTATTTTGGCATCTCAATGACATTTTCTACCCTGTTAAATGCCAGTTTGTGCTCAGAAAGCTAATTCAGCAATTTTAAACAAATTATTTAACTGGGTCGCGGCAGTTGGCAGAACTGGCCCTGGGCCAAATTGTAGACTCCGCTCCTAGTTTACCAAGCCTTGGTCCAAGACAGATGTGAAGTAGCAACAGTTTGTTTTTACAGTATTAAAGCCCTGACAGTGGGTTGGATTCAATTCAATTCAATTCATTCAATTTAAAATTAAATCGGGCTATAGCCAAATATCAACAGTTATTTAAAATGCATCATAACATTCGGGTCATATTAAAAAAAATGAAGATTCATTATCATGCTGGGATCATAATATACGACTATTTGTAGCCCTATTGTCATTAGGATCTAAAAAATTTGCAGGATTATCAATCGGTTTTATCTGACTAAAACTAAAATTCCAAATATCGCTTACTGCCAAAGCAGCTTATGTGCGGAATTTATTCTAAAGATTCTTAAATAGTTGCGATCCAAAGAATATTACATACTATATTATATAATGATTCATGGTGTATTCACTGGGTCACTCCAAAAGCTGTTAAAAATAAAACTACAAGTTTTTATTTTTTTTATACAATAGGATGACATTTTGTCGTTCCCACAAAAAAAAAAGAAAAAGAATTGCAAAAACATTTTATAGTATATATATTTTTCTAATCAAAATGAGCAAAGTGCTATTAGAACGATTTAATACGCAAACTGCACACTAATTAATATGCACAAAGCCAAAACATTTCTTTGCTAAGAATGTTAAGGATTTGCTTAACTTTATAGAATTTTCATGAAAATGTGTAATAAACAAACCATAAACAAATTGTATTTATGTTAACCTTAATATAATTTAGTGTCTTACAAAATGATATAGCGACTTTGTTTTGGTTGAAAAGATTTGCTAAAGAGTCTGCTTCAATATTAAGTATACTTTTATTCAGTTGTAATATTTACTAAGTATATACATACATATGTCAAAACTTTTGAAAACAGAAATTTGCTTACTGTATACTTAGAAACAAACTTGTAATAGACAAAATATTGTGTTTTTTTTATTGAAAAATTGCAAGTTTAATATTCAAGCATAATAATGGCCCAGAAACAATTTGGCAAAGGGGAGGTGATCAGTCAAGTAAGGCAACAGATTGCCGTGGCGAATGCCCAGGAGATGCTCTCGAAGATGACAGAGAAGTGCTTCAAAAAGTGCATCTATAAGCCGGGAAAGGCATTGGATGGAACAGAGCAACGTTGTATTACCCAGTGTATGGATCGTTTTTTGGACACATGGAATCTTGTCTCTCGCACCTATGGCAATCGCTTGGAGCGTGAGCATCTGAACGCAATGCGCAGTGAGAATGCGTTAAACTGAAACCAAAAACACACGCTTACACACGCAACCAAAAATTTACCTGTAATAAAGGAGATTCTCTTCTCTGTGACTTTTAACGTAACTCGTGTGTCATCTGTAACGGACAAGCGTCTTCCAGCTGACGACTAACCAGCCCCAAGTGCTTATCACTCGAGCAAAAGATAAGCCAGCGAAAAGTGCAACAGCAGCTATTGCAATAGGGAGGGGCCGGATCTGATGGACGTTCCGCTTAGCTTGATATGCGCGAAATTTAACGATCGTTATCGTGTTTGGAATGGTCTCGTTAGCTAACGGATGAACATTGACCAAAGCGCACCTTACAGCGTAGTGTAGTTTCGAGACCACTCTAATCCATTGCATCGTTTCTGGGCATATGCAAATTTTGACCATTGTCAAAATATGTTTTGTTAAAATACGCCAGCTAGGACGTAATGCTAGGCGCTTTTTTTTTTTTTTGGATCAGCTATAGTTGAGTGAAGAATTTTAATGGTCCTTCATTTAACTCTCAATTAAGGCAGATAATGAATGCAATTCTTCTTCTGAAGAAAATTGCTTAAACGATCAGTAATGAATTCTAAACAAGAGGTTCTAGTCGGGAGCTCCCGACTAGGGGATACCCTGAACCTTCTTCTTCCAACATCAAATATATATATATATATAAATATATATATTCTATTTTAGAAGCTATATGTCAAGTTTGGTGAATCTAGCTCTTATTATTTTCCAGTTCTAACTCTTATAGGTTCTGAGATCCTTGCGTTCATACATACGGACGGCCGGACGGCGAACGGACAGACAGACGGACATGGCTAGATCGACTCGGCTATTGATGCTGATCAAGAATATATATTCTTTATGGGGTCGGAGATGCTTCCTTCTGCCTGTTACATACATTTGGATTTTGCACAAATACAAGATACCCTTATACCCATTTTTAATGGGTTCAGGGTATAAAAATTAGCGAGACTTTTTGTTCAGCTTCAATTTTGTAGACCAAGTTCGGCCCAGCGTCCTTTAACGAGTTAGTCCTTCCATAGAAATTTGAATTGCATGTTCAATCTATTGTAATTTTGCAAAGCCACACTGCATTTTCTCGGATTATATTAATTATATTTTATTGGAACTGGCAAACAAATGTTTAACCGGATAAAAAAAGAACAACTTTAACACGGATCGTTTGAAGGCAGATGTTGTCAATACTAGAAAAGATTGAGAAAAAGACAAAATATATTTCGCCTCAGAAATTACTACATTTTATTTAACCATTTCTTCAAGACGAAAGAATACAAATAAATCATTTAAATAGACAAAATCGAATATATCTTGTCCAAATACTGATACTGATACAGATTTAGTAATAGACCAAATATATTTCGGCTCAACCTATCTATTTAATTTTAAGCATGCCGTGTGATCCGTTAATTCAAGATAAATTATTAATTTGTCTGAAAAAGTGTAAAGTTTTAGATGAACATTTCTCCACTTCTCCGTCTAGCTCAAAGAATATAAATTATTTAAATCAACATATTATTGCAATAGCTTATCTTAAGAAAGTGACTTATAGACATCAAAACTGGCGATCGTATTAAACTTGATTTTTGATAATGAGTCACATAAAACAACAAATTTTGCTATCAGGTATGTTTCTATCAATGTGGAGGGGAATTCTGAATAAGTGGAGGTGACCCGTTGACTTGCCAAAATTTGGTGCAAAAAATTAAAAAAAAGAAAAAAATGAAAAATGAAAAATGAAAAACAAAAATCGAAATATAATAAAAAAGAAATGCAAAAGATAAAATGTGAACCGGTGGCCGAACTTATTGGCTCGAATACCAAAGGCAACAAAATCCAAACGTTGAATTCGTTCCTCAACCAGGTACATTCAAGCCACACAAGTTACGATAAGAGCCCGAACCAAAAGGCCAATATATAGTGGAGCTCTGTGCTTTCAACCAAAAGCTCTACGACCCAGCACTAAAAATAGTCACAACACCAACAAGTGCGGTGGGTTTCAGTAATCATGGCAAGAACACGATAAGTAGAGCCCTCGGCACCTTATCTTGCCAACTAATCGTACTGCCGGCTGGCAACTCTTTGCGGGATCGGGCCTGCGGGGGCTCTCTATGGTATATGCTAACACAAATCGGAAAATAACGCCGAGTACGTTTATACTATCGTAATAGGCAAAACGTCAACGCCAGGTGATTTATGATAACCGCCACTTGACAAGATTATACTTACAACCTGAGAGTATCTTAATTTAGACAAGGTTACAATGCTTTTTGATAATCCAAAAGAATGTAGAGAGGGAGGGAGATAGATTCTGGCATCCTCTAAAAGCAGAAATTCTGTACTCTAAACTGGATGAAAATTTAAATAGGTATATTCAGATTGAAGTAATATTATATTTGAAAAAGCTTCATTTAAAATGAGACGAGGTTGCATTATATTGATAGAGCTATATTTTAGATCAGGGGGAAAGTGATGCGACATGGTGAACGAATATAGAAAGAGGGAAACAGAAATTCTGTACTTAGATGGAAATTTTAATAGCTATATTCAGATTGAAATAATATGTTCGAAAAAGTTCTATTTAAAAAAAGGCAGATTTGGTTAAATTTCAAAATTTTTAATTGATAGAGCTATATTTGAGGGCGGGTGAAAGTTAGATGAGACATTACGACAACAGTTCACGTTTCTTGTCAACTGAATAATGAACATATGTCTTATAGGAATTCTGCGCCGATTTCTGAAGAATTTGCAAATACATGCGTATGCGCAGATATCTGTTAATTTATTTAAAATCATTAAGTTGTCGGCAGAAAGTTGTTTACAATTTGGAAATGTTAGATAGGAAACTGGCTCTCGCGAACCACTTACGATCCGTTCATGTAAATATGTAAAGACTTTCAGTTAATTGTTTTTGTCTGTTGGGTATAAAAGGAAATGTGGCGACAGTGCCCATCGCATTTTAACGGATACAAATTTAAAATGCAATTGGGTAAGTCAAATGGCGCATAATAAAGTCTCAAATAGAATAGATCCAGCGTCGTTTTGTCTTTAGTGAACTTCCTGTGGATTGGTCTGTTGACGATCCCGCAGGCATTCGCCTTGGATGCATGTGCTGGACAAAATTTTGGATATAAAGCAGTCGATCCAGCTGATCCCCATGCATACTACTTGTGCCTGGGCTTGGTGGGCAAAGTAAGAAATACTTGTGCGGAGGGATATCGCTTTAATGTGCAAGGACAAAACTGTGCAAAAGTCCAGCTGCCAAGCGATCCTGCCCCAAGTGCAGCCAGCGGGCCCAATAATGAGTTCAATATAAATCAGAACATAACCCTTGATAGGCCAATCATTTTCAATATCTTCGGCTACCTGTTTAATCGACCCCCGAAGCCACATTTCCCCACAACAACGCCACCATCAATCGGAACTACCACTAAAGCTCTTCCCGAAGAGAATGAATCCACGACAATAACTCAGTTACTTCCAAAAAGTACAACACACGGTATAAATACCACTCCTGATGGACTCGACACTTCTACTCGAAGCTCAACTCCCGGGTCTCTGCAGTCTACCGCGACAATAACTCAACCATCAGAAACTTCTACCGAGATCTCTAGTTCCAGCAGCGAAGCCTCATCTTCCTCAGCTGAGAGTTCTACTGAGAGCTCTCGATCAAGTTCTGAGGGCTCTTCTTCTATTGAAACAACGGAACCTTCAGAAAGTTCTACCAAAAGCTCTACTGAGATTTCCAGTTCCAGTTCCGAAGCCTCATCTTCTTCTGCAGTAACGGATCAAACAGAGAGTTCAACTGAGAGCTCTGCTGAGAGTTCCAGTTCCAGCTCGGAAGCCACATCTTCTTCCCCAGTCACGGATCCATCAGAAAGATCCACTGAGAGCTCTAGTTCCAGTTCCGAGGAACCATCAGAAAGTTCCACTGAAAGCTCTAGTTCAAGCTCCGAGGGCTCATCTTCAGCAGTAACGGAACCATCAGAAAGTTCTACTGAGAGCTCCAGTTCTAGTTCGGACGCCTCATCTTCCTCTGCAGTAACGGAACCATCAGAAAGTTCCACTGAAAGCTCCAGTTCCAGTTCCGAAGCCTCATCTTCTTCTGCAGTAACGGATCAAACAGAGAGTTCAACTGAGAGCTCTGCTGAGAGTTCCAGTTCCAGCTCGGAAGCTTCATCTTCTTCAGCAGTCACGGATACATCAGAAAGTTCCACTGAAAGCTCTAGTTCCAGTTCCGAGGAACCATCAGAAAGTTCCACTGAAAGCTCTAGTTCAAGCTCCGAGGGCTCATCTTCGGAAGTAACGGAACCATCAGAAAGTTCTACTGAGAGCTCCAGTTCCAGTTCCGAAGCCTCATCTTCAGCAGTAACGGAACCATCAGAAAGTTCTACTGAGAGCTCCAGTTCTAGTTCGGACGCCTCATCTTCCTCTGCAGTAACGGAACCATCAGAAAGTTCTACTGAGAGCTCCAGTTCCAGTTCCGAAGCCTCATCTTCAGCAGTAACGGAACCATCAGAAAGTTCTACTGAGAACACCAGTTCCAGTTCAGAAGCCTCATCTTCTGCAGTAACGGATCAAACAGAGAGTTCAACTGAGAACTCTGCTGAGAGTTCCAGCTCCAGCTCGGAAGCCTCATCTTCTTCTGCAGTAACGGAGCCATCAGAAAGTTCAACTGATAACTCCAGCTCTAGTTCCCAAGCTTCATCCTCCACTGAGAGTTCTAGTTCCAGTTCCGAGGAACCATCAGAAAGTTCCACTGAGAGCTCTAGTTCCAGTTCCGATCCCCCATCTTCAGCAGTAACGGAACCATTGGAAAGTTCTACTGAGAGCTCCAGTTCCAGTTCCGAAGCCTCATCTTCTTCGGAAGTAACGGAACCATCAGAAAGTTCAACTGAGAGCTCCAATTCCAGTTCCGAAGAACCGTCAGAAAGATCCACTGAGAGCTCTAGTTCCAGTTCCGAGGAACCGTCAGAAAGTTCCACTGAGAGCTCGAGTTCCAGTTCCTATGCCTCATCCTCTTCTGCAGTAACGGATCAAACAGAGAGTTCAACAGAGAGCTCTACTGAGAGTTCCAGTTCCAGTTCGGAAGCCTCATCTTCTTCAGCAGTAACGGAACCGTCGGAAAGTTCCACTGAGAGCTCTAGTTCAAGCTCCGAGGAACCATCAAAAAGTTCCACTGAAAGCTCTAGTTCAAGCTCCGAGGGCTCATCTTCTAAACTAACGGAACAATCAGAAAGTTCTACTGAGAGCTACAGTTCCAGTTCCGATCCCCCATCTTCAGCAGTATCGGAACCATCAGAAAGTTCTACTGAGAGCTCTAATTCCAGTTCCGAAGAACCGTCAGAAAGATCCACTGAGAGCTCTAGTTCCAGTTCCGAGGAACCATCAGAAAGCTCCACTGAGAGCTCTAGTTCCAGTTCCGAGGCCTCATCTTATTCTACGTTAACGGATCAAACAGAAAGTTCTACAGATAACTCCAGTCCATCGCCTTCATCCGCTGAACCAGAAGCAGCTGAGTCCCCTACCGTTGCTTCTGCTGAAGCAGCACTTCAACTTCTTCCAATTGGTTTAAATGCTGGAAAACCCGGTGAGGGATTAAAAAAGACATTGTTGACACCAATAGCGCTTGGAGCTACATTTTCCACTGCTGGAACCAAAGAAAGTTCATATTGCGCCCTTCTGCCAAATGGTGCATACATAAGAAACCCAAAGTCCTGTAGTAAATTTTATGTTTGTGCAAATGGAGGCTCCATTTCTCGAAAGTGTCCTGGAAATCTCTATTTCGATATAGAAAAGAATATTTGCAATTTCCCCAGTCTTGTAGATTGTTCCAAGCAACAGCAACTATTCTCTAATGCCGTTGGCATTAGCTCGAAGAACTTGTCAACTTCTGATGGGCGGAAACCATCCTTGGACGCACCATCGACAACTGAAGCAATAAGTGAAGCTTCAGAGAATATTTCAACCGACAATAATAGCTTATTATCAGATAATCCATTAACAGTCTCTGCAATTACGGGACTTCCGTTGGGTAATGCAACCGAAGAGCGCACAAAACTGAGTTCTGCGGAAGATGACAGCTCAAAAGTAACAAAAGCAACTACAGGGATTGGATTGCAAGGCTCTAAACATATTGCACCAGCTGCACCAGCAATCGAGGACCTTAAACAGTTCAAACCTACGAGCCCTAAGCAAGGCATACGCGAAATGAATCCTGAGCTGCCTCCAACGAAAATTGAGGAAAGGTCAGTCTGCAGTTCTCTACCAAATGGCGCCTATCTAAGGGACTCCAAGTCATGTAGCAAATTCTATATATGTGCCAATGGCCACGCGATTTTGCGTAGCTGCCCAAAAAATCTGTATTTCGACATGAAGAAAAAGGTTTGCAATTTTCCCCAGCTTGTGGAATGCTTAAGCAGCGAAGACCAAAGTAACAATTATAGAAATCCATTCCCAAAACCCAATAAAAATCTGGATGGTGTTCGTATCGTTAAAACGTCGAGTACTGGAAGCGCATTGCGTTCGCCTTCTAAACCAAAAGTATCCAAAAAATCGGAGGAGGAAGGCTCCCCATTAGCCAGCAGCTTCCAAAAAAATGTTGTGTCCAGCTCAAAGGTTATAAGATATCCGAGTGCATCCGCCGATCAGAGTTACACCAGCTCCAAGAAAACTCAGATTCCTGCAGCACCAAAACTACAGCAGGGCAAATCAATTGTAGCTGGGCATATTAAGTCTCAAGACACGGAAATAAGTTCCCTTAAAAAGGTTGTGTCCAGCTCAAAGGTCATAAAGTCTCCGAGTGCATCCACCGATCAGATTAACAGCAGCTCCAAGAAAATCCAGATTCCCGCACCAAAAGTACATGAAGGCAAACCAATTTTAGCTGGGCATATTAAGACTCAAGAAGCGGAAATAATAAGCTCGACGAAAACAAAGTTGTACAAGAAACCAGCTAGACTACCCAGCACTGGGCACAGGATTATAGCAAGAGAACCCACGTTCGTGCCTTCAGGCGTGGAGAGTTCAGACTGCAGTTTCCTGCCAAATGGAGCTTTCATAAGAGATTCAAAGCTGTGCGGCAAGTTTTACGTGTGTGCAAATGGTCGTGCCGTACCCAAAAACTGTCCAGGAATTCTTTATTTCGATATCCAGAAGAGGGTCTGTAATTTCCCCAGCCTGGTGGACTGCAGAAACAACAATAATGTACACACCGCAGCTCCAGTCGAACCTTCGACCTCCGCTACCCTGCCGCCAAGCACACCAATCCCGGATTGTAGCTCCCTGCAAAATGGCGTCTATCTAAGGCATCCAAATTCGTGTAGCAAGTTTTATGTGTGTGCGAATGGCCGTGCCATACCTAGAGAATGCCCCAAAGGCCTTTATATAGACACTGAGATCAAATATTGCGATTTCCCCAGTCGAGTGACATGCTCCCTAGATGCTCCACAGATCCCAAGCCGTGCTCAGGGTCTAGCAAATATTGCAGCAACAGCTCTTGGAGAGCCCGACTGTAGCGACCAGGCCGATGGAACCACTCTGCGCGCCTCGAAACAGTGTAATAAGTATTATATCTGCGTAAAGGGAACTCCAACTACCCATTTCTGTGCGCCTGGCAAATGGTTTGACCTCAATCGCCGGGTCTGTGACCCAAAGCGCCTGGTCGACTGCAGTAATTGAGTGGGCAGAGCTCATTATATATAACTCTAATGAAGAACAGTATTATGGATTATGTACATGGTATAATAGGTGAAGGGCTATACTATCAATTTGAATTAGGGGCGCATACTAGCTTTAGCATATATTATAGAATTGGTTATGGTGTTTGTTACGTATAAGGAAATGGACAATGTTATCCAGTGTATTCCGACAAAAGTATTTACATTACTTAATGTCTTCTACAGGGAATAAATCAAATATTTTAACATCCTGAGTTTCCACATCTTAAATTATATTCCAGACTTTGTCGTTGTGGTATACACTAATCGAATCAGTTATATTTTGATTAATTCAATTTTCTTCCAAGATACTTGCAGACTCCCTCCGGTTCGGTTGGGCTTGGGATGTGTCGTTCTGTGTGTGTAAGTCCTTGAAGTGTGGCGACAAATTACGGGACAGGGCGCTAACAACTCCTAAGGGCGGAGAGGGGTTGAAATCGATTTTGTTTCAAGGCAATTCACGTGACAGAACTCAAGACAGAACGTTTAGACGCCCAGAAACGATTCGAGTTACATATGAGCCAAGTGATAAGAAACGCCGACACCTCATCAGGAGCCACCCCGGAACAGCCCTTGTCACAGTGAGTGGCTGCTGCACAGGCAAAAGGACATTTGAAAATAACTAAAAGAAAGTGGCTTGGCTAACTTGAACTGTCATATTTGAAATGATTTCTTAACTAAAAAAAAAAACTCAATTGTATTTATGGCTGACCCCGTTTGACATTGTTAGGCTAGGTAGCTCAATAAGGCAATTAGGCGCCAAAAACTTGAGTACAGTAAAATAGTATTATAAATGCCAGAGCCAGAGCGAGCTGCTGGCAATGCAGACAACAGAGAGAGAGAGAGTGAGAGAGAGAGAGAGACTTAGAGCCAGAGAGAGCTTATGGGGTGCGTCCAACTACGCGCTCTCTGTATGGTGGTTGGTAGCCGCCTCAACGCCGGCTATTGTCAAAATGTTGCCAAAGGTCGCAGTCGGTTGTCGTATTCAGCGGGTAAACTGACAGCTTTCGATTCGAAACTAACATTTGTGAACAAGCGTTTAACAGTGAAATGTTAGTGAAATTTGATTAAATGATTGAATTACGAATGGAATCGCTAAGCTGTTAATATAAACTGAAATAAACTGTTAACTGACGCGCTGCTATTTTGGGGCATCAGTTGGGCGTCCATAGTGTCATCTCGCTCGCACTGAACACAACATTCAATCGATAAACTTAACAGTGGGCTGCCAACTTAAACATAAATGTATGATGCTAACTCAGCGGTCATTGGGGCTAGTGACGAGTAGTCTCAGTAGCAGTCGCAGTGTCAGCGTTGAGACGTCCAGACGGGAATGTGCAAACATTGAAAGCGCCACAAAGTGTGTTTCTCTGTGCGTTTGTGTGTGTCCTGTGAAATGTGAAAATGTAAAATGCAATGCATATAAATAAATGCAAGTGCTGCAACGCAAAAACAAAATACAACTTCAAACTGAAATTCAACAAATAAAAGCGAAAGCCAAGTGCAAGTACGAGTGCGAGTACAAGCAGTCGCTGTTTTACCGTTGTACTTAGTGTGAGTATTTGGCAACGGGCGTTAACGAAGGCGCAGGCACACAGGTAATATAATTTTTAACAGCAACTTTTGTCGTTGATTCTTGTTAACTTTAACTACGGCAAGCGACAGCAACAACAACAAAAACAACAAAAACACAGAGAACGAGCATAAAAAATAACTGGCACTGTAGTAAAAGTAAATTGAGAAAGTAGCGAGTAAAACCGCCACATAACCCCCTCACTGCCCCGCAGCAGTGGTAGCAGCAGCAGCAGCAAGTGCTTTGTCGCTGTTGTGGGTTCTTGTTGTTGTAGTTGTAGTCGCTCGTCGTTTGCGCCTGTGCCAGGGGTTGCTTGGTGTCAAAGCGGCACTTGCATATGTGTCTGTGTGTGTGTGCGCGTCTGTTTGTAACGGTTAATCTCATTCATCAGAGAGTTGAGTTTTACACATTTTTACGCCTGCGAGTATACTACGTTAGCAACGAGCAATGCCGATGACTCGCTCAATGCCCTTCCCGCGCACCCTTAACTTTAACCAGCACTCTCTTGCGTGAGGGAACGAAAGAGAGGGCGAGAAGAGAGAGAGAGAGAGCCGTAAGCAATGCACAAAAGCCGCTGTTAGTGTTGTCAGCTCGCTTGCACGCACAGTGCTAAAGGCGCAGTTAGTGGTCGATTTTAAAAGTCCTTCACGTAGCAACTTAGTCATGTATGTGTGCGGGTATACACTGTAAAAGTAGTGTCAAGCGCTGTACATAGCCACAAGCAGAATTACATATGTGCATACATATGCTTAGAGGAATACCTATGTATATACATATTAATGATGTATGTGTCAAATTTTCGTAGCCAGGGTCAGGATATGTGTAATGGAATACCATTCTGTTGCGTTTTTTATGTACATTCAGACATCCAGACACACCGAGTTTTCGGCAGGTGCGAGTATACCCTGTTGAACAGTGTAAAGTTTGCTTATGGCCATACGCGTATATGGATTCGTAGTCGCACATGCGTATCCTCAGTCGTATTAATCATTAAGATGACCTCGACCCTTTCTAGTTTCGCCTCCACGCCCCAGCATTTCCTCTCGACGCCCGAATTGTCGGCCAGGGATGCTGGATATGTCGCCTGTCAGCTTTTGTGGCCAAATGAGAAAACTGCCAACTGCTAAACATAAAAATAAATAAATAAATGTGATTGCGATTGCGGCTTGTTGTTGCGAATTTTGTTGACAGTCGCCCCAAAACCTGATACCCTGCCGCCCGCCAACTTATTGGCAAGGCTTTAGCTATTAATCTGTCCGCATCCAAATCGAATACATGTATTTTCATATTATTTTCCCTATTTCTTTTTTTTTGCATACATACATGATTTAGTTTTTGCGTTCGTGCTTGTCGTCAACCTCTAGTCCTGGTGGTATCGGGTCTTGGCATCTTGGGACTGACCCAGTTGTCAGCCGTTCAAGCACTAAGCCATTTTCTCGCCAAGCCCCATTTTGTCATCGCGCACAATCCTATCTCCAGTTGTATCTGATTTGGCACTTTTGGCGCTCAAGGAAATAAGCGTTATAAGTGGTTTCCGAGAGTGTTTGCGGGGAAAGGGTTTTGTGTAGTGGATTGTTAATCAAATATTGACGGCAAATCAGCGTGTGTAACAGATAAATTTACTGAATAAAGCTGCCCTAATTTATGTTAGAGGTGGTTCTTTCTTAACTTTTCAAATTTTCATTTTAATATTTGATTCCCTTAACATAGAATAAACAAATCAGCTAGTTATTAAATGGTGTCATGCTAGATAAAGTCCAGAAATGTGTGGGACTTGAGTTTTATTGTCCAGATAGCACCTGCCAGGCGCGTATCTTGTTGTCCGAGTAGCCAGCAAAGAGTGTTTGGCCATCTATGGACCAGGCCAGCGACAGGCACTGTGGCAGATCACCTTTAGCCGTTGGCGGCACATCCTCTAGCCACAGATCAAATGCGGCTTTCTTCGAGGCCAGGTCCCATACAATTATCGATGAGCCGCAGGCAACACAAAGCCAGTAGCGACACGGTGAAAAGGACATGGCATTAACCACATCATGATGATCCAGCGGATACAGATTACGGCCATCGCTCAGATCCCAGAAGAGCACCTTGGCATCCTTGCCGCCCGATGTGCACAGCGAGCCGTCCGGCGAGACGGCCACCGTGGAGAGGTAACCAGTGTGTCCATGATGATTATTACGCAGCTTGCAGTGGGTCAAGTCCCAGACCTTCACGGTGCGATCCCAGCCGCACGAGACAATCAACGGATTTGAATGCTTGGGTGAGAAGCGCACGCAAGATATCCAATCGGTGTGGCAGTCATCGGTTATGGTATACTTGCAATCCGCCAGCGTGTTCCACAGCTTGATGGTGCGATCACGCGAGCCCGAGACTATCTGTCGATTGTCTGGGGAGAAGGCCACCGAAAGCACGTCCTTGGCATGTCCCTCAAAGCGATGCGTCGTAGCGCTGGCAGTCAGATCCCATAGCCGTATGGTGCGATCCCAGGAGCCGGATAGCGCAAAATTGCCATCGGATGAGAGCACCACGTCGCTGATGAAGTGCGAGTGCCCATAGTTCCGTTTCAGCATATACCCATAGTTATTCTGGCTCTCACGAGTCAAACGCCACACGATGATGGTCTTGTCCCGGGACGATGAGACCAACAGATCCTGATCGTACGGATGCGGCGCCACCTGAGTAACCCAGCCACTGTGGCCGGAAAGGACACCAGCTAATTGTATAACCTCTGGCATATTGTTTGTTTTTATTTATTTTTGTTGTTTCTCAAATGTTTACGCTTTTTATTTATTTCCTTATTTCTAGATCAATTCCAGTTTATGAAAGGTTTGCCTAGTTTGCAGTTTCAAGAATATCCAGATTGTCAGAATATTTTTAGACATATTTTCTAGTCGATCTAGTTATATTTTCTTGTCTTTCTCTCTGCTCTTCGTTGGGCCCAATCCAATTTATTAGTATTTAAAAGTATCCTTTTGTGCTCAAGAGTGTACCTCTTCTTCCTATGGCGCTATCCAATGATACATGCGCTCTGAAATAACTTCGGTGTTTGTTGTCCGATCTAATACCAATAATAACAAGGATATACCTCTTGTTGTTGGTATGGAGTGACTATATACCCTCTCCATATGGGTATATAGCAAAGAAACATAAATAGTCACCTTTTCGCGGCCATCTATCAATATTTAAAGTCTTGACAATTGTTCTACATAATTTCGGTTGAGGTGGGTGCACGTGTTCTACGTAGACGTTTGTATAATGTCCTGTCCCTTCCCTGCGTGCTCTTCTTCATTTAAAAGCGATGACGTAAAATGAAAAATGACGTTAAGCAACGCGAAAGCTTTGCCAGACGTCGGCACCTGAAACAAAAGCCCAAAAGGGTAAAGGATAAAGAAGAAACCAGTTAAAAATTGCTTTAAAATGCACATGCATAAGTGCGTGTGTGTGTGTATTTGTGTGCGTGTGTGAGTGTGTGCCTGACTTGTCTGTGTGTGAGTATTGAGCGGGCGCTGGCCAAAACAATGCGGCTTTTCGACGACTCGCTTGAAAAATTACTCATACGGCAATGAAATACGTTAGTGTGTGTGAGTGTGGGTGTGTACGAGTATGTTTGTGTGTATGTATGTGAGTGTGTATGGCGCCAGCGGCGCGCTGTTGTTGCTGGCATCGCTGTTGGCAGTCGCCATTCAGCAGACAAATGGACATGGCCAAAGACGGGTGGCTAGACTGACGGGCAGACCCAGCAAGAGGGTTGTCGGCGAGAGGGGCGTATGGGGAAGGGGAAGGGGAAGGGCGCAAATTGAGACAGAGACACCGAGCAAGAGTACTTTTTGCATTCGCCGGCGAGTTGTTTAGGGTGCATGCGGGTGTTGGATAAAGTGTTGCCAACACACATAAAAACACTTTGCCGTTACATATAAAGTAATTTCTTTTGTTTACAGGAGACCAGCAGTTAATATAGATGTGTGTGTGCGTGTGTGTGTATATATGTGCGCTTTTATGTTGCCTCTCTTCTTTTTGTTTTTGTTCTTTTTTTTGTGGATTTAATGTACTGTTGTTAATGGAAATTTCGTAAATATTCACCGTTATGCGAGCCACAGCGCTGATTATTTTTTTATATTTATAGTTTCCCTTAATATGTGCCGCCATAATATATCTGACATTGTTTTTTGTCTGCTTCATGGTAAGGGTATGCTATACCAATCCCGACTTATATCAGCAATGTATTTCTTTAAAACTAAAGCTTTTTTAGTTTGCGATCTGCTAAATTCAAATAGTTTTTCGAGCTCGGATCGAGTTATAATTTCTATCCATCTATATATATAAATTACTGGAAAATTGGTTAAAGATTTTTGTAAAATTTCATTTTAGACGTGTTGCAGACTCTTGAGAAAATATACATCCTAGAATTTTAAGTTGTATATATTAGTATATATTGTTATAATATGTGTGTACTTATCTATTCGTGTGTGTATGCATATGTGTGGATGTATATACGCAGACCAGGTTTATTTCCCGCTGCTCTGCTGAAATTGAAGAAAAAACGTAGTTTAAAGTAATATTGTTCTCTGCGATTCTCATGAATTCATGTAGGCTTTGCACAGCTTTCTGCTTCGACAGTAAGTTAAGTGAAGTGTTACAAATACTGTGTGGAATGTACTAGCTTGTTTTTTATACATGTGATACATATATGTATATATATATATATATATATATGTATATATATATCTTTATATAAAAAACTGGTTGTCCTGATTAATGGACAGCCATAACCAGAAGAGCTAGGTAGCTGAAATTAGTACTATAGTTAGTTTATGTGATGAAAGTGCACGCTTGTCCAATTCCACCCGCAAGTGTGAAAAAATCGCGAAAAATGTTTGTATAAGATTGGGTGGGTGAAGTTTCGCTTTTTCATTCATTTCCAAAGGTCTAACAAAAAATCATTTCAGATGTGTTTTACACATTTTGCAAGAATTTTTGTGCTAAGTTTTAAGTTTTGTCCGATTTGCTTCAAACTGATTTTCAAAGCCTTTCATAAAAATTAACTGCATACGTGTTTTAGCGACTTGTGGAATTCCACACGTAACTGTAGAAATTTGGCCGAAAATGTTTACCTGCGTTGTTTTTTATCGGCTTCAAATTCATTTTCAGAGATATTTGTTTAAAGTAATTTGATGCGTTTTTCGCAAAATAACCGCTCTTGGCTGAAAAATTCGGGTAAAATGTTTAATGAACACAAGTTTACTTTTCGGCTTCAAGCTTCTCACCACGAGACGAACATGAGTGAAAAGCGTTGTTTCCAACTTTTGGTTTTTTATTCGAGGGACTTTAGATATATTTAGATAGTACGGACAAATTAAAATATTTCACGGGCAGGAACTGGATGAAAGTTATATTTCAAATTTTAGGCACAAAACTTGCCACGAGCAAAGCCGGGTATTCCCGCTAGTATATGTCTGTGCTTGTTAGTACATATGCATACCTGTTTGCAAGTATGTGTATATGTATTTATGTATGAATAAATATATGTGTGTCGGTATGTATGTATAAATGTGTACTTTCTTTTTTATACCAAGCGCGGACTAAGTTTTTTTTTCACTGGGCTGCAAGCTAAATTTATAATATATAAATATAGAATTACCGCAATACATATATGTGTATGCGTAGATAACATATAATTTGCATATATTTATATATTATAATATTTATATATTAATAAGAATATAAGTAAAGGCAATTAAAGCCTGGGCACGGGATATTTCCCAGCTATTAATATTTGTTCGTTCAGTCTAGAAATGTCATTTGAGCATAAATAATATGAACTAAATAATGGCAACTAAATAAAAACATTAAAAAGGGCCAAACGTGTATGTATTAGTGCAAACACCATGCATATAGAGACCTAAATAAGACACAGGAATAAAACTCCAAAGCAATTGCCCGATGAAACCCCACAGGGCCATTAATTGTGTGCTACTCTACAATTTCTCTCTTTTGCTTTGTACACTTTGCCATTGTGTTTTCCATTTTGTGTGCCATGTTTTACGCACACACATGCACAACACAACACACACACACACTTGTCAGTTGTTATTGTTGCTGTTGATAGTTTTGTTTGTTTCGCCTGGCTAAAGCCGCTTTAGACGCGTTGTTACTTTTGGGCTTTTGTTCCTTTTTGTTGATATGCTGTCGGTGTTTGTAATTTATGCGGCTTCTGACGCCTTCCCTCCTGTCCAGTCCATCAACATGCACAACATCGGTTCGGAGTGATATAACAACAATTACAACTTAGGTTCATTTGGGGCTGTCAACATGCGAGAACTCTGTCGGCTTTTAACCACACATCGATTGATATTTATCTAAAGAGTTTTCGATTCGCATAGCTTAAAACTCTTATAATATTATTGCTTTTATTTATTTTTTTTTTTTATTTACGTTTGCGTTAATACTTCAATTTATTTTCATTAATTAATTACGAAAAACGAAAGGATAATAAAAGAATTTTGAGCATTAGCCGTTGACCATGCCAAGCAAATTTGTTGCCATGGCAAAAGCAACAGCAACAACAACAACAACAACAACAACAACAACAACAACAACAACAACAGCAGCAACAACGACTACAACAACAACAACTATAGCAACAGCAAAAACACAACAAAGTTCAAATTGATACTTCCACATCCTGTCTGTACACTGAAATTCAATATTTAGTCGTTGGATCTTACTTTGTTTCACTTAGCTTCAATAATGAACTCTAATTATGGCTAATGAAAATTGTTTGCGCCCAAATACCCTTGCCAATCTATAGGTATGAGTTCTGTTCTAGTTTCGGTAACGTCTTGCAGCCTTGCTTTAATTTTAAAGAACAATTTACTCAAATCAAATGTCCCGAACGTTATTAAGAACGCTTGCAGCCAAAATTGTTAATCTACTTGGCAGGAGAAGTCAAAACGTGCAGCGGGATAAGTCAGAAAAACTATAATCAAATTTAATTAAAGGCGAAATTGGAGCGCTCGAAGGATAACAAACAGTGAACGTGTATGTGACACATCTAAAGTCCGAGGCATGAATGGTCCGGCAGATGCGAGAGAGCATGAGACAGAGAGGGATAGCCAAAGAGAGAGAGAGAGAGAGAGAGAGAGAGAGAGAGAGGGAGAGAACTAGCGAGGGAATAGGAGAAATGCTGCAAGCAAATAAAGCACAACAAAATATGTGTGATACATTTTTTTTGCTGCTGCCTCTGTGCCCGATTCTGTTGCTGCTACTGGCTTCTCATTATTATTTTGCCTTTTATGTGGCACAAGAATAGAGTGAGTGTGGCGCTTGGTGAGGTGAGGTCGGCACGGTCAGGGGGTACACGCCCCGCCAGCAGCGACCCGGTCTGCTCGGGGGCTGCCGTTGATTTCTAATGTGATAAACTTTTGATGGCACAAAGGCGCTGCCATGCCAGCTGCTCTCCCGTAGCGCACGGCCTGCAGCAAGCCACAGTATAACACAGCCGAGCATACCCGCGCCCGCACCCGCAACTGCCCCTTTACGGCTGCAGCTGGGTTGGGCGGCTCTTTAAAATCAACGCCAGTTTCTTATTGCCCAGTCATGCAGTTGAGTCTTGTTATTATTTCAAGCGCACAGGCACACGCACTATGTGGCTCGAGCGCTCGAGCTTCAATAATAAACTAGGCACCGCTGCGTATACGTAATATCTCATTTGCTTTTAAATGCGCATACGCCCCCGGGGCACGTCCAGCGCTGAGCTTTCCTCTGGCATCTGAATAATGTTATGCATCGATTTTTCGATTTGTGTGATACTTATGAATCGCTGGAGCCGGCAACAGTCAGAAACAGGGAGAAAAGAGAGAGAGAGAGGGAGAGAAGGAGCAGAGGCAGAGGAAAGGAACAGGCCCTTTAGTTCAGTCAGAGATTGGAAACGCAACCCGAATAATGTAGTATCTGTAGAACCTGTCAATATCTTGGTAACACTTTAAACGCAAAGAACTTCTTTTATTTGGAAAACCAATGAACTTGGAAGAAGTAAAGCTAGATCAATACTTTGCTAGAGGCTATTACAATTTTGTCATGATTTGCTTACAGGACGTCTCCGACTCCATAAAGTATATATAAAGTATATATATAGAATTAACAGCCGAGTTGATATGCCATTTCTGGCTGTGCGTCTGTCTGTTTCTATGTAAACTAGACTCTCCGCTCTTAAAGCTAGCATTTTGAGACTTTACTTAATTTGTATGTCAGAAGCAGCCGGATCGGACCACAACTATTTATAATATATGATGGCTGCAATAGGTAAGCTCCGTCGAAAGACAGGTTTTTGTGTGGAAAACTTTTTGTTTATCAAGATACCTTTACATATATGCAAAATCCTTGCAGTATATCATATAGATGCCATATTTATTTTATTTTTATCCAATTTTATTTTATTTTATCGGCATTTGCTGGCCACACTATTCTCATTTATCTGCAAAAACGTAAGGAAAATGTAAACAAGGGTATTTCATCTTTATATCCTTACTTTCTCGTTTCCAATTTGTATACAATTCTTTTATGTCTAGGAGCGTAAAATATTCATTGTTGAATGTTGTTCGGCATATCTTAAAAGCACTCGTTTTTAGACGGAAACATAATATGTTAAAGATAGCTTAAAACACAAAAAACAATATCTTACAAAAATTAAAGTAAATAGTTATTTTTCCTATGCAACAGGAATGTTTATTCTAGCCTCGCGCGCATTAGGTACTTTAAAGTTCTAAATGTTGAACACTTTATGAATTGAAAAAAGCAATAATAATCATAATTTATCTCAGAACTGAATGGTTTTTGGTTGCGAGCTTAGATTTTAATTATTGCTGCTTCTATGTGAAAATGCAATTTCTAATTGCTTTGCGCTTCGTCCTCTTTTTGCAGGCTCGATGATAAATGCAGCCGCTGACAATTAATATGGAATCGAGCAAAATGTCGAAACGAGCATTTGGCTGAGCATTAAAACATTGCGCATACGCCGCGTGGTCCGCTGAGGGGGAAACTCATAAATGAATGCTTTTAATTGCGAAAAAATGACGTTTGCCAGAACAAATACGGAGAGTATAAAAGGAACAACGGTTGCTAGATCAACGGCAACAACAACAAAAACAAACTTTTTGACCTGCTGCAGCAGTGAAATTTGTGAAAATCGCAAAATTTGAGCCAACAGTATGCTGCTGATGCCAACATCGTGTGGCCCCGGGCCGCCAGCGGACGCACACGCCGTTGACCTTAGCCCAACACGGCAACAACGTACACGCAGTCGACTGCGTGAACTGGCAAAGACCCACAGCCCAACTGGTCTGGCAACAACGGGCATTCCCAAAGGGCTTCTAATGCTGCTCATGCTCTTTGCCATTGTGGCCCAAACGCCGCAGGGCCAAGTGGCTGCCGAGAAGAGCAAACACTGTGAGTATTTGCCACCATTTATGTTTATATATATTTATGTGTATATATAGGTTTTAGCCAAAGATCGAAGTTTTGCACAACTTTTACCCTTGTTCTGTGTCCACTTGAATTTCGGTAAACAATTTGTTCCCTTTCTCAGCGCTCAACTTTTGCGACAAGCAGCAAATAATTTCGTTGGCAAAAATAAAAGTTTGCTCCCATTTATTTTGAGGGTGGCAAATTCCATTCTGACATTAATAATTTGATTAATTTTCAATACTGTGTTATGCCCCAAAATTGAAAAAGTCCATGTGAAAAGTGTAGACCGAGTTTCCCAAAAGTAATATGAGAGCAGAGGCAGGTTCGACTAGTGTCGGGCTTGTTGTTGTAAGTAACTTTCTGTATACGTTCTAATTGAAATACGGCCCGGCATTCGAGTAATAAAGAAAATTGTTATCTTTTGGACAACAATCGATGTGCAATATGTCAACTTTGCTGACAGCCTGGCGAGCCCAGACAAAAGATGTATGTATTTTGATGTATTTTGATATTTTGTCTCGCTCTTTTGTGGTCTTTGTAACAAAATATTTGTTTACAATTTGAATATTTCTTTGCCTTACTCTGGCAGAACAATAAAACCCCATCGAGGAATTGTAATAAAAGTGCATGAAAATGTTACTAAAACTCGAAAAAAAGAAGCAAAAAATGCTTGCACTATAAAGTATACACCAAAAGCAAACACACACAGGCACACGGCATGTGTGTGTGTGTATTTTTTTGTGGTAATTCATTCACATTGTACATATTGTTTATGCAAAGAATAAACAACATATAAATGCGATTTTACGATGAGGTGGCAACTTGCATACTAAACAGCTCGACACACACACACACTCACGAGCGCGTGTGTGTGTGTGCATATGAATGTCTTTCGGTCCAAGCAAGCCTTAAAGTTGACAAAAAACCCACAAAACATTTAATCAAGCTGCAATAACAAGAAATGATCCGCATTTTACATCTTATTAGCAACAAATAAAAAAGTAATAAATGAAAGGTTTGCGAATTTTAAATATGACTATGACAATAATATAATCTGCATTTATTGAACTCATTTTTATACCCTGAACCCATTGAAAATGGGTATAAGGGTATATTGTATTTGTGCAAAATCCAAATGTATGTAAGAGGCAGAAGGAAGCATCTCCGACCCCATAAAGTATATATATTCTTGATCAGCACCAATAGCCGAGTCGATCTAGCCATGTCCATCTGTCTGTCTGTCCGTCTGTCCGTATGTATGAGCGCAAGGATCTCAGAACCTATAAGAGCTAGAGACTTGAAATTTTCTATGTAGGTGCTCCTAGTGCCTGCGCAGATCGAGTTTGTTTCCAATAATCGATAACTTACTCCGTTTCCAAGCAATCTATAAAAATTGATATCGATATCCTGTTTTTTGGGCAATTTTGCTTCTAAAATAGAATATATATATGCATTTGATGTTGGAAGAAGAGGGTTCAGGGTATCCCCTAGTCGGGAGCTCCCTACTAGAACCTCTTACTTGTTATTATTGTTAAATGCAATGAATGTTGTAATTAACTTAGCCGAAAATTATTTATTTAATATCAAAACTCAAACCAGAAACGATTCTCTGCTAGTCTAGAATTTCTTTGATTTGTTGCATATCAAAGTTACATAATGAGTTGTTTACAGAATCTTCAATCATTTTATATTTCGCACACACACACACACATGCACACATTTGCAAATGGGGTGTGGCTTCTGGGGAGGCTGAAGCATTGCAATTGCTGGCAAATGAAATGAAATCGCTGAAGCGCTGCGACGTTGACGGCGACGAAAGTTGTTGCCGCAAATTATTTCCGTATTTTAGTATTAAATCATAATTAAAAATTTCAAGTTAAACAACTTACAAGTCGCCGTCGACGTCGACGTCGCGCCGTTCGCAGCAGCGAAACTTTGCGCTATACAAAAGTTGTTGCCTACTTTTTTGGGCATGTTTCCGGTTGCCGCTGCCCGCTGCCGCTGCTGCTGCTGCTGCTAGCAGCGCTGCCTGCTGCGCTATATGCTTCTAATTGCAAGCTCGGGTGACGACTCGGATTTTTGCTGCTGCCTGTTGTTTGTGTTCTTGTTGCATTTCATCTTGCTCGTTTCCGGAGGCGACATAAAAAAAACAACAAGCACAATGCTTAGCGCGCCGTTTCTGTTGCCGCTGCTGCGTTTGCGACTGCGTCTGCTGTTTGCTGTGTCCACACACACACACACACACACACACACACACACACACACACACACACACACACACACACACACACACACACACACACACACACACACACACACACACACACACACACACACACACACACACACACACACACACACACACACACACACACACACACACACACACACACACACACACACACACACACACACACACACACACACACACACACACACACACACACACACACACACACACACACACACACACACACACACACACACACACACACACACACACACACACACACACACACACACACACACACACACACACACACACACACACACACACACACACACACACACACACACACACACACACACACACACACACACACACACACACACACACACACACACACACACACACACACACACACACACACACACACACACACACACACACACACACACACACACACACACACACACACACACACACACACACACACACACACACACACACACACACACACACACACACACACACACACACACACACACACACACACACACACACACACACACACACACACACACACACACACACACACACACACACACACCCACACACACACACACACACACACACACACACACACACACACACACACACACACACACACACACACACACACACACACACACACACACACACACACACACACACACACACACACACACACACACACACACACACACACACACACACACACACACACACACACACACACACACACACACACACACACACACACACACACACACACACACACACACACACACACACACACACACACACACACACACACACGCGCACGCATCGCCTAGCTCTGCTCCTCCCTTGTTGACTATCCGCAGCAGACTTGCGGCTTACGTGGCGTATACTTAATTTTCTCATGCTCATTGCCAGGCGCGTTACAACATTTTTATTTCGCTGCGCTCGGGCTAAAGGCTGCCGCTGCCGCTGTCGCCGCTTCTGCCGCAGCCTCTGCCTCGGCTGGCAGCATAGAAGGATTTTCTCAACTCGTTCAACAAAATGTTGTACAAAAGTTTCATAATTAATTTCATGTTAAGTGGCAATGCGAAACGTTACGTAGGCAGTTCCGTTCCTGCAACTCCGATTGCCCCCGCCGCTCCGACTTCCTCCAAGCTCTGCCACATCCCGCCCCATTTGCACATCGTTCCGCCCGCTGCTCGCCACAGTCGTGTATTTTTTGGACCGTTGTCTTTAATTTGAATTGTCATTTCCTGTCTCAAACACTCGACGCCACTCGCTTGTTGCCGCTGCACCCTCCCCCCGTTCCGCCCGCACACTCACACATTTGTCGGGTCTCTAGCGGTCTGCCAGCCATCCGGCTGACTGCCACGCCCCGTCGCCGTCGCCGCCGCCGTTGCTGCTGCTGCTGCTGCTGGTGATGCGCACGTTCAACTTGATTAGCGTAACTTGTAATGACTCGCACGAGCTGCGACTCAGGGCAAACTTGCTGGAACCAGAAGTCCCTGGTTCCCTGTTGCCCTGGTTTTCCAATGCCAGACATTCACTTACTTGAGTAAATGTGTGTGCTCAGCGTGTGCCAGTGTGTGCGTGTGCGTGTGTATCTGTCTTTCGTATTTGCAAGTGGTTTTCATAATTACTTTGTGTGTTCACTTCAAATTATCTGAAGCGCACAAGTTGCGCCTGTGCTTGAGTTATACACGCCTGTTGGCATCTTCCTAACCCGAACTTATTCAATTTGTCAAATGTTTACCACATCATTGCAATATAATTAAGTTTTCAGCAGAGCAAAGAGTGCTAAATGAGTGTATCTATTTGTCTTAGGCGCACGCTCTCTTGCGAGCGCAGGACTTTTTCAATTCCGCTTTGCATCGCATCCGCAAACGTTACTCGACTGTTGAAGCGATATAGATTTTGCTTTTAAAATGAGACTGAACACACTCTTAAGTATATGGTAACTATATATATATGTATTGGCATAACAGTTTTCCAATTTGCTGGGGAATACTGGAAAATGTCATCACAAGCAATCAGTATCCGAACGAAATAAGCTGTCGCTTGCCGATTTTTGCCGCGCACAGGCAATTGTGTCGCTTTGTGCAATAATACGAGCATTACACAATTTTTATTTTATTTTTATTTTTTTAAATAAAATGGGTCACGTTTCTCGGTGTGAGGGGGCCGAAGATTTTCTTTTGGCAGACTCCAGCAGCCGCTGATGGCCGACTGCCAATAAAATTGCGAGAAAAACAACTGTCGACGACCAAGAAGTGGCATAAAACTTTTGCTTTTGGTTTGCCATAAATATGAATGGATGGATTTGGGTCTAAATGGGTTGGCTGGGCGGGGCGGGCTCGCAGTACCAGTTGCCATTGCGGCACATTTCCAAATAGAATAAGATTGAGCCAAAGGAGAGGGGCAGCTGCTGCTGAAGCAATTGGTAGCCAAGAGGGGGAGGGGTCTCTTAACATTATGACAGCTTTGCGAAAGCGATAAATTTTAATTTCATGAGAATCCAGCCGCATACGAATCCAGATTTGCAACAAGCCACAGAATTTAGCATGAGCCTAAGCCTTTTTATGCCCATTGCATGATTTATACGATGTAGACGGATTTTCTATACACAATTGGCAGGTTTAAAATAGAGTTCTTGTTGAAAAACATTTCGATTGCTTTGTTATGGTAATGTTTAGTTTTTAGATAGAATTGAAAAATCGAT